GTGATGGTGATGTATATTGTGAATGTGAGTGCGTGGTTGTGTATGTGCGCGGGCGTATGTGTGTGTATGCTTGTATAAATGAAATTATTTGGGATTGGGCGATGGAATTTACTACTCCTTCCACTCATTTTGGCTCTTTTTCTTTCATTTGGAGATTTTCCCAATTTGTGAAATTAATTATTCATCGCGACGACGTATTATTGACACACATATGCATGCCACGATGACATGTGATTGACTAAAGAAATGTCCTCACATTCTTGACGAGACAATCTACCAGTCTTGACGAGACAATCTACCAGTCTTGATGAGAATGCAGCAGTGTGATCAAATAATGTTTGAAATTTTGGAATTAAATTGAAGTAAATTAATATTTTAATGGACTGAAATAGATGAAAACTGCACTAATGAATTGAGACAATGAGCTAAAGTGAATTGTCTATTGTGATTTATAATGAAATAATGAAAATACTTTATCATATTTTAATTATGTAATGCAATTGAATGTTCTTTAATTATTATATCCAAATTTCAGTTGAAGTACAGAAGATGGGAAAAAAGAAAAGAGCAAAATTTAAGGATTCGTATAGTCGTACAGCTTAAACTGTAAAAGTAATATAAAGTTTTAGACTGATACAACTGCTAATCGATCGATAATATTTGAAGTTAGCCTATCAAACAGCTAACATTTTGTAAAATAAGTAAGGCCTATAACTTTGATACTCATCGATTTACTCAAATAAGAAAGAGATTGAGAAATGTCCCGAAAAGCCGATCGCGATGACATATGAACGAGAAGATCAAATCAGTCAATAAAATATTTCTTCCTAAATACGCAAATATCTTATCCACCCTCTATTCCTTCCTTATTTTATTTTAATAATTATTTTTTTTCGCTTCAGTAAAATTACACGTGTGCAGTACAAAAAGAATGTGACATTACCGCTACGTCATTTGCAAATACCATTTTTACCATCAAATCTTTTTTGTTATTACAAAAATTTCAGCTATAGCTTGTTCATGAACACTTTTTAATTTGAATAAAATTCAAGCATTTTTTATTTGAGTTTTTCTTATCAAATTCATTCCACTATTATCATATCAAATTGGTGTAAAACTAAAAAATATATCAATGTGAAAAATGGGAATTAAAATTTTATTCTATTTTTCATAACTGAAAAAAATTATTCAAATTTACTATTTCCATATAAATTTCTTTTTTTCTGTTCAATTTTTTAGGTGAAATTCTGCTAATCTATGGAAGATTGAAATCCCTATTTAATTTTGTGATATGCTCCTTGAGAGATACCTTTTGAGTATACAAAATAAATGATTTTCCGAATTCATTGATAAATCTGATTTCCATTAAATTATTATTTCAGTTTGATGTTTTATTTTATTACTTCAATAGTGACAATAGCGCCAACCTCCAATGTTCACTTAAATATGTTTTCACCGCAAGAAGACTTTATCTGTTGAACCTCACTCTTTTAGACATTACCTGTATGCAATATAAATGTATTAGAATTATTCATTAGCTACGAGGGATTTATCAATTCCTATTGTTCATTTAAAATGTGCTCAAGTAGGACAGTTTTTTGATATATTTAAATTATTTATTTGTACCACCTTATATAATAAAAATGTTTTTTTACTAAAAGTTAAAGTATGAACTAAAGCTTAGATTTAAGTTAATTTAATTTTAGACTTGAGCAAATAACATAAATCATTGTTAAATTCATTTCATGTAATTTTAAATTGAATAAAACTTTAGCTTATATTGGTGCTCAAAAGGAATACATTTTTATATTTTTTCAAATGTTAACCATTTACAGAAGTAATATGACTCATTTGCTTAATTTTTCTAAATTTTCTTTAAAAAAAAAAGAAAAAAAAAACTTAATTTTACGTAAGGTATTGCTAACATTTTTAAATAACAAAAAGTAAATACAATCGCTTTCTATTAGAACTTTAGATACTACCTGTAGTGCAGTACAAATACTATTTTTAAGGCTTCTAATTTCTTCCTTCACATTTAACTCTATAAAATATCCTTTCTTCCTACATTAATTGGTAAACTTTTTTCTTGAATCACTTATTACTGAAACGATAATAAAATAATTTGATTAATTCCTCGATCTGATCTTTATTGATGTATTCTGCCAACCCTCTTTATCAGTTCTTTCCGCTCATCGCATCATTTTTTCTTTTCCTGGTTCATCTGTTCATTTCATATATACGCAATATGTCACATGGTCATGTAATAAATTTCAATTATTTCTGTTTTTTGGTTTTTTTGATTTGATTTTTCGCTTAAATTTACTAATTCTATTCCATTTAAATTATTTCTGTTTTTGGGTTAAATTTATTAATTCTATTCCATTTCAATTGTTTCTGTTTTTGGGTTAAATTTATTAATTCTATTCCATTTCAATTGTTTCTGTTTTTGGGTTAAATTTATTAATTCTATTCCATTTCAATTGTTTCTGTTTTTGGGTTAAATTTATTAATTCTATTCCATTTCAATTGTTTCTGTTTTTGGGTTAAATTTATTAATTCTATTCCATTTTTCTCCATTTAAATTATTCCCGTGCGACAAATTTCCAGTTTTGGAAAATTTTCATTTCACCATTTGTGAGTGAAAAAACAATGACAAATGTTTTGCTAAACATTTACTTGAAATATATTTTTATTTCAATTATTACCAATACTTTTTTTAATTGCTTAAATAATCAGATATTATTTATTTTGTGCTCAATTAGTAAATACATTTTCAGGAAAAACTTAGAAATTCGTGAAGATTTCCGATAATAGAAAGGAAATGATGAAAGTAACTGAAAGATGGCAAATTTTTGAAAACTGAAATGATAGATTGAATAAAATTCATAAAATTCGTAGATGGAATTGATTATGATACAGTTTAATTTTTTTTTCACCTAATTAACTGAAATATTTGAAGATGATCTACTAATTAATGACATAATGAAATGAAGGATTATTTCTTTTCAATATTATAAAGAACTGATTAGTTAGCATGAATGTAATACAATGTAATATAATGTGATCACATTTCATGCAATGATACATGATTTATTAATTATACCAACTAATCAAAATTGAAAAATTGGAATTGGCAGATAATTGTCTCTGAAACTGGAATATTACAGGTAATTGCTTGTGAAACTGGAATATTGCAGGTAACTGTTTGAGGAATAAAAACTTGAATATTAAATTCGTTAAGCAATTTTTTTAGGTTAGCTTTTTTCACTTCAATTTTTCATATTTCCAATTTTCCATTCTATTACGAATGGTAATTATTATTTGGGTGTTTTCTTGCTTCTTTCATATATTTTATTTCTTCATTTCCACTTCAGTTTCGTTTCTTTCTTCTTAAAGAAAAAAAAAAAAGAATGAATTCCTCTGCATTACTGATATCTTCATTAAAATTGTCTTATTGAAATTTTAATTGCTTAATTCGTTGTTGTATTAACCATCTTATCAAAATAAAGTTTACCTGCAACTTTGAGATACCGAGAATGAAAGAAGAAGTAGAAACAAAAAGGCAGAAATAACCATCTCAGTCTTTGCTGCTATCAGGAATTGGCGACAAATTTGAAGTCGAATCTAATTCTTGGTTTACAGAAGTCAGGGACTTTCTTGGAGATGCTGCTGACTATTTGGGTATCAGTTACTAACTTCATCCAAAAGTTTTCTCAAACTCTTTTTTTTTTTGCGCGTTGCGGCTTTTGACAGATATTTCGCTTTGTGACACCAAATAATTTGTCTGGATTTTTCGAAGTTAATGATAAAGTCCTTGTATAGTTAGTTGATTGACACAAACGAATGTTCGAAAAAAAAACTTTATCGTTCGACGTTAGGATTATTACACAGTATCAAATTTATAATAGAGAAATGTGGTTCTAAGTCAAAGATTATTTCGGTAGAATGGAAGTACTAAGACAAGTCAAATGGAAGATTTTGTTGTTAAAGACTGACCGCAGATAGTGGTTCCAACAGATCTTTAGATGATAGATTGTTGGTCGTAATGACAGTCTTAGAGTATTCCATCAATGCATTAGGATTCATTGAAGTTTAAAAGTGTTTGGTATTATTCATGGCACAAATTAAAATGAACAATTGTTGGTTATTAGCATGTACACTTCTATCTTATAGAATTAAACTAACTGTTTGAAATCGGTTTTGTTTTTCCCTTAGTTTTTGTTTGCCATCTAAGTACTCAGTACATATGATTTTAAAGAAATTCTTTAAAAGAAATTATTTCCAACTATTCCTTACTAATTTATTAATTTGTTGTACTATTTAATAACTCTTGCATTATTTAATGATTAACTAAAGAGTAATAAACAAAAAACACTCCTTTTTTGCTTTTATAACCAAACTACTTAGTATATTTCCAATATTCATATTATTAGGATTAAACTGATTTTTAGTTGGTTTACTCATAGTCAAAGTTTCTCATCAATTATATCAGCTCGAGATACTGTGATATTAGATGAAATTATTGTGCTGAAATTGCTGAACCAAAAATGATATTAAATAAACAAATTAAATTGTACAAATGATCTTTGCAGTTATAGAATAAAACTGTCAGTTATTGTTAATTGTGGCATCAAAGTTTGTTGCTCAGCTCCAAAAGCATAAACTTAAATTTAAAGTAAAACAACACACTAAAAATTACAATCAAAAGTAATTTTGCTTTCACCATATTTTCTACATCAAAAAAATTCCATATTTCCACACGTTGCTTATTTCTTTCCATTAGCAAATAAACATTAGTGGTTCTTTAGATCAGTTTGATGCTATGTTAGGAATTAGTGAAACAGGAAATCATTGATTAAGTTCATATGAATATTTCGAAAAAGAAATTGTGAATTGCGGTGTGTTGACATGTTGATTTAGAGAAAATGAAAATGTAGAAATCAGATTCTCACAAGAAAAAGAAATCATTTATTGTTGATGCTTAGTTGTTTGAGAAACGTTTATTTCTGGTGCTGGAATAAATACTTCAATTGTTGTTTTAAACTTTGGAGAAGACTTTGTTTGCTTTTCAGAAGGTCTCTAAACATAGACTGTTGTTGTTGGAGGTACTGCTGAAATGAATGCTGCTTCTGCTGTAGTTGTTGAAGAAGTTGTTGTTCTTGTTGCACAAGTTGTTGGAATTGGACTTGTAGCTGGCTAAGTTGTTGAAGGAGATTAGAAATTTGCGGAGGTTCTAGAAGCATTTGTACAACAAGTTGTTGTTGTTGCTCCATAAGTTTCACAAGTTGCTGTTGTTGTTGGAGGAACTGCTGAATAAGTGGTTGTTGCTGTTTGTATTGTTCAAGAAGAAGTTGTTGTAGCTGTAGAAGTTGTTGGAGAAGAGATGGTTGTTTTTGTAGTTGCTGATAAGAAAGCTTTTGTTGTTGTTGTAACTGAAGCAGTTGCACTAGATGTTGAAGTTGCTGAAGAAGTAGTTGTTTCTGTAGCTGAAATTGCTTTAATGCAGTATGGCGTTGCTGAAGGAGTTGAAGATGTTGCTGTTGCTTCTGATTTTGAGATTGCTCGCGATTTTGTTGAATTTGTTTTTGAAGCGTTTGTTGCTGCACAGTCGATGGCTGCGTTGCTTGCTTTAGAGAATTCAGTTGCTGCTGCAAAAGTTGTTGAAGAATAGGTTGTTGTTCTTGAAATAGTTGTTGTTGATAAGGCAGTTTTTGTAGTAGAGATTCGAGAGTCTGTTGTCGCTGAAGAAGTTGCTGAAAAATAACTCCTTGTTGGTGCTGAAATTGATTCAGAAGTGGTTCTTGTTTTTGAAGAAGTTTAAGGGTAAGCTGCTGGTTATGAAGAAGTTTTTGTTTATTTTCGCAGCTATGATTCCGTTCAAGTTCCTTACGAGCATTCTCTTGCTGTTCAAGACGGTGCTTAAAGTGTGACTGGTTTTGTTGTAGTTGTTCGAGCAGCTGTTGAAGTTGAAGTTGAAGTTGGTAAGGTGTCGAGTTTTGTTTTTTTAGAAGTTCCTCGAGAAGAGACTGTTCTTTTTCTATTTGTTGGACAAGTTGCTGTTGTGTGAGGAGTGGTTGAGAAGGGGATTTTTTCTTATTTTCGGTTGACAATGCTGTCATTGTTGTTGAAGAAGAAACTGCTATTATTGTCTGAGCTAATGTGAAAAAGGCTGTTGTTACTACCGTAATTCCTGGAGTTGTTGCCTAAAAAAAAACCAGAAATTACAAAATTTGTAATAGTGAAAATGTTAATTTACAGAAACTCACAAAAAGGCAATTCGATCTCCTATAGAACGACTGAAATTAGAGTCTATCTCAGTAGAAGCAGATTGTTTCCCATAAAGAAATATTTCATTCGAATCATTCTTACAACTACTCAGATGTTAGTAGAAATTTTACTGATTGACTAAAGCTATTTCAAGTAACATAGACTGATAGCGAGTGCTATCAAATTGAAACAAATTTAATACCTTTGTGAAGGATGAAAAAGCAATGATAAGAAGGAAAATAATTTCTTTCTTCATTTTCACCATCTCGATTAATCAAATTTGAACTAAAAGAAAGTAATGGAATGTGAATCAAAATTATATGCTTTCATTTTTAAAGTTTTTTAATCGAGTATAGAATTTTAAGCATTAATTGACAATCAACAATACAAGTGTGCTACATGGATTACCAAGCATCAAGCATCAAGCAATTTATGATTCGGGAAATCTCAGTTAAATTCTTTTCTTACTTTCTATGGCAGTGAAATCCTCCCTCCAGAAACGCATAATATTTCTAAAAGGGTTTCGTTTTGCAAAAGAACCTTCTCCTTATGCAACCTTTGAAGAAGCATTAAGTTTTCTAATTTTTGCCCACTAGGAAAGCCCTGGAATTGTTGCCACACTGAACAGTTTGAATTGTGCTGTAAAATTTAAAGACATTTGTGTGTTACTTGTTTCATTCTGCTTCTACAGAATTTTCTAGTTGAAATGGAAATTGAATTGAATTGAAAGCTTTGTGTTCGAAATTGTATTTCTCATTCAAAACTTGGGGACAACATGCATTGCTTTCAGAAGATTCACCTTATTATTGTTCTTTCTATTTCAATGGATGAATTTTGATACAATAAAATAAATTAAACGAATGGTTGTTTTCTTATTTTGTTATAATACAAACTTTTCTGATATTGAAAAACGGTTTTTGTCCTTACTCAATGCTTCCGCCTCTTTCTTTTCTTTAAAGGTATTACCAAAAACGATTAGACACCAATTTTGGCACTTCAACGACCGACTGTTAAAGGTGGAATAAGGTTGCTAATTTTGAAGTAGTGTTGCACATACACATTACATTAGCATTACATAAGTGTTTGCATACTTGCATGCAGTTGAATATTTAAAATTTATTGCGGACAGTTGGGATTTATTAAACTGTGCGTAAGTCACTAATGATTTGGAAATGAAATGGGCGATGTGCTCTACACAAATTGAAAGTTTGAAAAAAAAAAATATTTGTTTCCTTGAGAAGCTTCAGCCATCAGTTCTAATCAGTGATAAAATAAACTCTTTCCTTTCTTAATGTACTGTCATTTGAAACATTTTTTCCAGTTCATTTGCTGCAATGACCGATACTTACTACTTGCTGAATCATTCCACTGATTAATATGTTGATAGAGAGGAGGTGAATTACTTTTTAGAGGACTAATTACTTAGATCCTCTAAGTAATTGGTCCTCTAAATTAATGCTCGTCATACTTAATTCTTCAATCTAACAAATGATTTTAGTTCTTCAAACAGCTTATGACATTATATAAAGGTAACATATGAATGAAACAGTTTCCCTCTTTATACAGGCAATTTTTTAAGAGAAATTCTAAGGAATTCTTTGCCAAACTAAATAACTTTTGTATTAGTTGGCGATTGCTTAAGCTTTAATGATAAAGTGGAAAGAAATTAATGATAAGTTCATCTGAATGTGATAAAAACACTAGATAAACCATTTAATCTGCTTCAGTTTGTTTAAATGAAAAATGATTCCAATTAAAATTTCTTGATAAAAAATTTTTGTTATAAATACAACAATAAACATTTCATCATTACATATAATTTGCGTGAATTCTTCAAACAATTCGACTGCTTTCAACGAAATTGAATTAATTTTCATCAAATGAAAGTAATTTTTTGCACTGAAAAATGATAAGTTTTCGAGTTAATATTTGATGGAAACTGATTTAAATTAATTAATCAGTAATAACGATGCATAATATTCGCTAAGTTTCTGTTAACTATTCTTTGCTAAATTATGTTATCAGTCGTTGCTTATTGCTAATTTGCCAATTTTTATTTTTTATTTTTTTTAATGAAAAAATTTAATTCTGAACGAAATTATAGCAAAGCTAAGAAATATGACCAAAGTAATCATATGAAGATACGAACAAAATTGAAGCTCTGATATGAGCAACTTTTCCATTAATAGTATATTCCGGAAATATTTATTAAATTAGATCCACAAGTTGCTATTATCAAAATTTCTATTATTAATGCCACTGCTTGAATTATTATTATTATTTTTTGTAACATCGAAAATGTAAAAGAAAATCATTTCAGTAAATTGTGAGGTTTTGTACAAAAATCAATTCATATATATATATAATTATGAAAAGAATGAAAAGCAGAAAAAATAACAATAATAAATGGAATAGAAAGTAGACAAACGGAATTTATTTAAAATAGAACTTAAGGAAAAATAATAATTTTTAACTTTGCATAAAATAATTTATTTTATTTATAGCAATGCTTCAATTATTCATTCTCTAATGTTATACATAAAAAGTGCACATACCTTTCATATATTTTTCAACTGTCAATGAGTTCTAACACTTATGAAAACAATTGTTGATTAGCAATACGGCTCGCGCTGAAATGTCAGTAGGATATGATATTGAAATTTTAAATTCAAAGAATTTTGGCAACAAAATCTTTGTAGAACAAAACATATAAGTTCATTTCAAACGGAAAGTAAAACAAAGAAGAGCAGTGGGTAATTCAAGAAAAAAAGCTAAATCAAGAACACAAATTTAGTAATATAAATTATCATATGATATGCTATCACAACTAAGACTGTTGAAAAACAAAAAAATACAAAATAGCTAACAGTAATACGGTACAAAGAAAGAAACAAAAATTAAGAATACAAAAGCAGGCAATAATTCAAAAAAAAATGTCCGTATTATACCAATGAAAAATTACCGCCACTCCAACTACCTTTTACCGCCAATTCGTGCAACCTTTCAGAGAAATTCAACAAACCATTATTCATCGCTTACAGTCGCTCTTTCCGAATGAATAATAATGCACAATTTTTCGGATATTAACCTGTAGAATCTTCGCTGTTAATTGAGAAAAATTTATAAGAAAGCACCGACAAAGTCAAATTCCACGCAAAATCGATACCAAACGACAAAAATAGCGAAGGAATTTACAATCAAAGGTGTCGCCAATTTCTTTCTGATAGCAACAAAGATAGAAGAAGGCTGTTTCTCCTCTTTGATTCTTTTCTTATCTCAAATTCAGGTAATTAAATCTTTGTTTATGAAATGTTTGTTACAACAACGAATCCAGAATTTCAACAATAATTTTAATAACGATACCAGTTATCATCCAACACCTGAAAACTTAAATAAAGAAAAAATGGAAGCAATAATGAATAGCATAGCAACTGATTAAAGATGATCAAAAGATAAAAGAGTTTTACTTTTGTGAAAAAAATTAGCATAATAAATCCAGAAGTTCCGAAAATTGAAACGAAACATTACTATCACAATTCGATATAGGATGATCACACGTAACTGTCTCAACGAATATTCATCTCAACAAACCTGATTAATCGAATAAAACTTTAAGAAACAGAAAATGTTAGAAATTGAGTAACTCATTTCTTACCTAAAAACTAAAAATGCTATGCGATTAAAGTGGGTATTGGTAATAAAGAAATCTCACATGCGAAATAACTTTGTGTGAACGACAAAAATACTATACAGAAAGAGAATATAGCGAATATTATTTTAATGACAAAAGTAAAAGAGTGATTATTGGTGATCACTTGGAATATTATGGATACTTTAATCTTATCAAATACTATAGGGGTATTATTGACTGAATAAATATTCGGCGGGGATTTTGATGCTTTGACATTTTTCTATTTTCTAACTTTTATATCGATATTTTTATCTATAATATTTAAGTTTTAACTAAGTTTTAATTAAAGCTATAAGGCAATGATTTAAACATATTCTTATTTACCTAAAACTTTTCCTTAGTATTTATATTTTTGTGCCATGGCATATTAGTGTCAAAATAGTCTATGGAACCCATTTATTATCTACTTTTCGTTTTTATGGTTTATTTTCTTATTTAGCTTTCAGTGTCATTCCTTCTCGTTCTTTCTTTTTACCTTTTTTTTGTACATTACTAATATAATTCTTGTTTACAACTCACCTTTTTCCTTTTTATCACTGACTTTTTTTCTCGGAAAAAATTCTTTTTTCATGCCACTTTACATTTGCTTATTATATTTGTTATTTCGCAAAATCTCTTTTTTATATTTTTCATAAAGCTCACTTATTTTATGCTTTTTGTTGATTAAATCTTAATTCATGAAAGTTTTTTTTTCTAAACATTACTTCTTTTCACTTTTTAATCCTTCCTTTTTTAATTCATTTTAAAACATGTCTCTTCGCTAATGTTCAGTCTTTTCTTATGGCCCACATTTTTTATTACTTCTTCCCAAGTGTGACATTTTTATATAACCAAATTTAAAAAAAAAAAAGAAAAAACCAAAATTAAACAACGACACTATAACTGCTTACTCTGAAGCACGACTAATTCCAACAAACGTAAAATTAGTAAAAATATTATTAATATTATTCATCTCCAATTATTTGCAGCCACTCGTTGCTACTTGTGAATACTTTTAGTTGGAACCACCTGTTACTATAACCACTTTCAACCACCTGTCACTGTAACCACTTCGCAACCACTTGATACTGTATCCATTTACAGCAACTGCTGTTGTAGCCACTTGATACCGTAATCACTTGCAGTGACTTATAATTTCAGAGGTGGAGAAGAGTTTGCATGCCTTTGCGAAGTTGTTAGTTATGCTGGCAGTGGAAGTGGTATTCGAAAAAGGATATTCTAAAGAGACCTACACCTGATGATTTCATTGCCGTCGTCCAATCTTTTTGAATCTTTCTGAACCATTTCGAGCATTCTCCGATTGACTTAAAAAAGCCTTTGCGCAAGCTCGAAAAATATACCAATTTATTACTTAGTGACTACAATTTCAGAATAAATTAAACTGAGAGAAACTGTGTTCAGTGAAGTTGATTGTTTTTTCAAAAGATTTATAGGTTTGTTAATTTCTTTTTTTGGAAATAACTCAATGTAATCTAACAAGTGCTTAGTGACTTTATATCAATAAAATGTTATTTATGTCATCGAGATGAATTGTCATAAAATTTCCGTCCGATATTTCCCCATTATCTCCGCCC